TGAAACAACGTTGTTAATTGGAAAGAAAGAGAGAGATTGTTATTTCAAAAGTTGGAAAGATGCTTTATTTGACGATGTTCGTAGATCCCCAAACAGTAGAAATAAGTTACGAACGTTTCGCCAATTTAAAACAAATATTTTTTATGAGAATTATTTGGATATCGTTCGTGTTCCCCTGTACAGACAAGCTTTAACTAAACTCCGGTGCTCTAATCATAAGTTACACATTGAGACCGGTAGATATTATGGAACTCCAGTGGAAAATATAACCTGCCAAATATGTATAGATGCTGTTGAAGATGAAACTCATTTTCTGGTAGTTTGTCCAGCATATAACCATATTCGAAAACCGCTTTTTGATCGAATTAACCGCATTGAACCACAATTCGAGTTCCTTTCGCCTATCCGTAAACTTACATATATTTTTTCTCAGGATAACCATGAAATCATCCAAAGTATTGCAAGATTTGTATACACAGCTTTTCAGATTAGATATAATTTGCTAGTGGTGGTTCTCCAATAGATGAGTTGTATATGTGTGTGTATGTGTATATATATATAATACTTTATTTTATTGAGGCGATTAAAGTCACGCCTGTAACTTTCGCATTGTAACCTGTTCCCCCAGGTTAGTGGGGTATATTTCTTTAGAGAAATGGAAATAAAATAATAATAATAATATAAACATGGGGGAGAACAATCTGCCATCTTTGCGAAATTTTATACTGCCATGTTTATTATGTGCAGGTGACTTAATTCTACTATCAGAGAGCAATTCCGGTTTAAAATGTTTGATACCAATGATCAAACCAATACCTTTATACTGTGCAGAAATCTGGTCAAATAGTATAATTAAACATCAAAAGCTGTATATGAATATCATGTCACCAATGAAACAATTACACATAAAATACTGCATATACTGACTCAAGGTTAACAGCAAAGCCACCAATGTGGCATGTCTTTTAGAATTAGGATGGTATCCACTAATTACAACAGGTATAAAACAGATGATCAAATACTGGTCTAGAATAAAAAAAATCCCTTAAAATTCTCTGGTATATGGTTATAGGTTTATTGAAACACTTAAAATTCCTCAGAAGGAATTAAAATGGTTACACTAACTGCTAAAACACATATATAAAACATACAAATTTTACAAGAATTACTGTCTAAAGCACAACAATGGTTTTAAAAAAAACAAAAAAAACAAAACAACAAACTACAATTACAAAAAAACTATTGATATATGTAGGTTATAATATTGAAAAAAAATAGATGAAATAATAAAAAAAAATAAGCAATAAACAGTAAATCAATAAATAAAGTATATGAACCATATAGTCTCTGCTTAGAACTAGACAACTACAACTGGGTTTCCGGTCTAAAACTTATACTTAAAGATCTAGATATAGACTATTTGTGGCATGAGGAAAAAAAGCAAAACGAAAACAATGTAATTATAGATACAACAATATCAGAAAAACTAAAAACAAAATTTGAAAAAATTTGTAAACAGATTTTAGGGAAAAATCACAAAAATAAATTGCGCACTTACAGAGAACTGAAAACAGACCTTGGCTTTGAAAACTACTTACACGTCAAAAATACTCATCACAGGTCATCAATGACAAAATTGAGGATTAGTGCTCATGGACTACAAATAGAGACTGGGAGATATAACAACA